ATGTGTCTGTGGTAATCGTGATGGATGGTTGCTTGAGCTGAAAGGGAACACCTGTGCATGTGTTAGTTGGGTTCACCCACCAAGAAAGGGACCTTTTGATAGGCATTGTCAAGCACTCAATGTGGTGATGAGGTCTATAGACCGATCTTAGACTCTGTAGGAGTCTCATTTGCAGCTGGTCATGGCAGATCACAAAAGTTGTTGATGCCATATGGCCTAGCAACTGATGACATAGTTTGATAGTTGTTCGTGGACTATTCTGAGCTGTTAGAACAAGGTCAGAGAATGTTTGGAACCTCTGATGAGGTAGTGAGGCTGTGATACAGTCCAGGTGTGCTCCAATGAAATCAAGCTGTTGTGTACACATTCATGTGCACTTTGGATAACTGAGCTGTAGATCCTGGTAGTTGAAGAGAGTCATGGGCTTGGTGACCACTTGCGCAGTCTGATGTTGGGATGACCCTTTCAGGAGACAGTCATCCAAGTAAGGGAATATGATAATTCCCGACCTGTGTAAATGTGTCCCAACAACCACAAGGACCTTGGAGAAGGTTTGGGGAATGGTAGATAATCCAAATGGGAGGACTTGGTATTGGACATGCATGTCCCCTATAGCGAATTGTAGGTATCGTCTGTGCACTGGGTCTATTCCAATATGAAAAGATATGTCTTGGAGGTCAAGGATAGGTAGCCAATATCCCTTTTCCAGTGCAGGAATTATGGTGGCGAAGATTATCATCTTGAAGTGCTGTGGTTGAATGAATCTGTTCAATCTGCATGAGACCAGAATGAGTCTCCATTCCCGTTTTTTTGTTGGTGAGGCAATAATGGGAGTAAAACCAGGTCCCTCTGTGATGATGAGGCACATGTTCTATTGTCCTTAGTTGCAGGAGGTGGTTCAGTTCCTGCATGAGAGGGACCTCCTGAGAAGTGTCCCTGAAGAGGGATGGGTATGGGGTGTGTGAAGGGGTGTGAAAAAAACAAGAGGCAGTGTCCAGATTGGGCTGTATCTAGCACTCCTTTGTCTGTGGTGATCTTGCTCCAGACTGTGTAGGAGGTCGCTAGGCAGTTCCCAAATGGGGCTCAAATGGTGGAATCCTGCAGTGGAACTTTCAGGATGATCAGAAATTCAACCAACAAAAGGTTTACCTTGAAGCTGATGGTTGGGAACGTGATGACTGCGCCCAGTCTGGCACTGTTTGCATCTGTAGTTGTAGTGTCGCTGGGGCTGTGTATAGGGGGAGGATTTGAATCTCTGATTAAGAACTCTTCCCTGTTTCCACTTGGCTGCAGGCACATGGACTCCCAAGATCTTCTAGGTGGACCTTGATTCTTTCAGAGTGACGAGGGCAGCATTGGTGGACTCAGCTAAGAGTTTTGAACCTTCAAATAGAAGGTCTTCTACCGTTGCCTGCACTTCTTACGGGAACTCCAAAACATGCAGCCAGGATGCATGCTGCATGACCACTGAGTGTGGAGATGGACACTGCAGTGGTGCCAGCTGAGTCTAGCGCCACTTGCAGAGCCATGCATGCAATGAGGAACCTATCATTTGTGTTCAATACATGGTGACATTTGATTGAAGATGCTGTGGATGTAGTTTGCGAGAAGCATCACATAGTTTGCAATCCTGAGTTGCCGGGTCCAGGTGAATAGGCTTTCCAGCCGAATAAGTCTAACCACTTCCAACCCCTACTAAAGGGGGTGGTACAAGCATCATTCTGCCTGTCCCTCTGGTTGACCGCATCAACCCACTAATGAATATGGGGTAGAATGGGTGAAGAGAAAGTCTGCTCCCTGTGGTGCAACGTAATATTTCTTTATGGAATTCTTACATGAGGGAGGGATGGTTGCAGGAGTTTGCCAAATGATCTTGGCTGGGACAATTAGGGCCTCGGTCGTGGGTAAAGCCAGTGTAACACTGGAGAGGAATGGGGAATGTCCATCAGCCTGTGTTAAGTCTCAGGCAGTTACTGTAGGGAAGTATTCAGAGATTCAGCTACCCTTTTATATAATTCTTGAAAAGATTTAAAATCATTTCCAGCAATGGGTGGTGGTGGCATGACTGTATCATTCAAGAGAAGAAGACAACATGCGTGCTGGTGAATGAGCAATGGGCTGATCCTCCCAAATCTCTACATCCTCCTCAAAGTTTGCCACTGGGAAAGGCACGTGATCAATGTGATGGAGCTGGCTGCGGTACTAGCTGGGATGGTGAAGCTCTGTACATAGCCCAAGGATCCCATTAGGGTCAAGAAGTTGCCATTGTGTTAGCTGCTGCATCTGCCTGGGTGATAAGTGTTGTGGGTGTATGTAGACCTGAAGAGGTCTCTTCTTCCTCATCCTCATTAGAAAATGGAGGTGCTGAGCCTGCAGGAGTAGTGTGAGCTGTAGTAAGGCTGAACCATGATGTTGCCAGGACGCCATTGGTACCAAACAGAGGCGTCCTGAGTGTTGAGGTAACAGTCAAATCTGCTTCACTGGTGAATCCTTGTGGTGCCAAGCACATCAGTACCAGCATCAACGCCAGGTTTTTTTGGCATCGATGGTGCTGTTCTTGGCTTGGTGTGGGATGGCGCCTCAGAGTTAACCCATGTAGGGTCCTTTGATCCTCAGGTGTCTGTACCAGACAAACCCACTGCCTCCCAGTCCAAAACTTTCAGTGTCGCTGCTGCTATTTGTGGTAAAGAGTACATTTTGAAGGGGCAATTAGCTGTAGTCAAACAAAGGGAGCACTTTTTCTTGATTGCAGCCAGAAGGGCATCTCTGGACCTGAAGCCTGAGGGAGCTGGTTTGTCTGACATTGATGTAGGCGATGGTTGCCTTGGCGGTGTGGAATGCTCTGAGTTGGAGGCAGGGTGGAGAGATTTCTCCATGGGCATTAGCTTTAGTTGAAGTTCTCTAACCTTCTTGGTCCTTGCAGTTAGTTTCTTGAAATGAGGGTACTTCCATGTAATGTGCACCTCGTGCAGACAGCAGACACACTGGGAGTGCCTGTCTGATAGTGGATTCAAAATCTGCAAGTTAGGCAACACTTAAAGCCAGGGGAGCCAGGCATGTCCTAGAAAACGGACAAGCCATAAAAGCGGCAACTTTTTAAAAAATAAAATAAAGGGGATGAAGAAGGACTGAATAAATTACTATGAAGACTAAAGGAAAGTAAAATAAGGGTAGGATATGGTCTGAGGGGGGATGACAAGGGCGACTGCTAAATTCTGACTAAAGACAATGGTGGAAGAGAAGGAATTGAAGGGTTGGCTGACTGTGCATGCGTGACAGTGGCCCCAAACAGCACAAGTTGGCTGCTCACATTTACAGCCGACAGAGGACATTGCTACTACAATTCTCCGATTAGAAGTGCAGGGGCACCAAGACCCTTGAAGTGGAATACCCACAGGTACGCTCCTCAAAGAAGTACTATATTTACTATTTTCCAGTCATATGGTACCACTCGCAATTTGCTAGATTAAAAATTACTGTTATTGCATTTGCAATTTCATGCACCAGTTCTTTCAGAATTCTGAGAGGGAGATTAGCTGGTTCCCCTGATTTAAAATCATTAAACTTCTTGAGTTTTGCTTTCACCTCTGTTAGGGCAGTTCCACTGATATACATTCAGTCCAATCAGCCATCCTGCCTTTGCCTCAAATCCCTAGTGAAAACTGAGGAAAATATTCATTTACCGTAGTGTTTGGGCCTGACTTAGATTATCCTTAATTTCTACCCCAACCACTTTGTATAGTGACCCCATTTCTTCTTGTTCTCTTTTTATTTATATGGTTTAAGAACCTTTAACTATTTGTTTTAATTTCCTTTCCAAGGTCTAGCTCATCTTTACATTTGACAATCATCACTTCACTCCTACACCTTCTGACATCTTTCACTTTCTTAGATGATAGATTTCTTTTTCCATTCCTTTGTAGAATCGCTGCTTATTCCTACTAGCATATTTTTGAGGTGGCTATTCATCCAGTTAGGCCTGGAGCACTTCCATGCAAGTTTATTCTTCTTAGTGGGGAAGCAAGTGCCAGATAAGTTTTGCATCTCTGACTTGAAGAAATTCTAAGATTTCACATTTAAGTTCCTGAGCTCTTCAGGTCAGTTGCCTTCACTAATTAGTTCCCTTAATTTCTCAATGTGCACCCTGTAATTGGTGACCTGGCTTTGGTTATCTTTCCATTTAATTTAAATTGAATCAACTCAAGCAAAGATTATTTTTTTCCCAATGAGCTCTTCTATAATATTACTGGTTACCATAACCAAATCAAAAATAGCATTAACTTTTAATGGCTTAATGACTATTTGGTGACAACATCTGTCAGCTACAACATCCAGGGCCCTACCATTATAAGAAGCATTTGTTCCCAACTTATATCTGATAAGTGAAAGTGTCACAGAATCACAGTTCCCAGTAGTATTCATCCACTTCATTCAATGGCAAAAAAACTAAGTTACCACAGAGTTAAGATTGCTTGGTAGTATGTTGACCTCTTGCAGTAACTGAAATAAGCAAAACTCAATGTACAGTAAATGTTGCTCATGCAAACTTAACTCTGCCCTCTTTCAGAAATACCCCTGGACACCCCATTGACACCTATACCACTCTTCTGTCAAGAAGAACAGTGGCTGACATGTACAAGTTCTCCACCTCCTTTGTAAGCCCTTCACTTTCACCCCCATGTCAAATGGACACAAAGAAAACATACAGTTGCCCACATCCCCTTCCCTCTGCCCTCTTCTGGTTCTTGACACTTTAAGATTCAGGTAGTTCCAGATCCTGGAGAACACTGAAACGGACAGTTCCCCAGAAATAATACCATATGCGTACAATTTGAGAACTATGCGACAGACTTTTACAACTCCCTTAAAGGATACGAACTCAACCTATTCTTTCCCTTGCCATCATTAAAGCATTAGCATTCTCTTCTGTCCCACCTCACCACAGACATTCTGACTAACTCCGGTGCACCCTAGTCACTTACAGAGAATGTTTAACTGACCTGTTCCTGCTCTCAAAGCTGGTGCTTGGCTGGGATCTGGGGAGGGACACACAATGCCGGATTCTGTCAGTGCTGCAGGACTCTCGTAGTCTTCGAAGAAGCATGAATAGGATTCTTCCTCATGCAAGGGTGGTAAATCCAAGACCGTCAGGAAAATCTGCCCATCAAATATTAATATAAATCCCTGGTCTCCGTGGATAATTCACACTTTTCTGGTTAACACGCTTTTGCTTTCCAAACGGCTCACTTTCAGATCCACAGAAACGTCCATCCATTGACTGCCTTTCTAAGGTGTCCCCCACCATTGTATCCAATCTCATTATCCTAGCTGCCATTTTCTATGCCTTTTCCCATTCCTTAATGTCCTTCCTATAAGCGAGCCTCCAGAGCTGTGCCCAGTTCTCTAGATCGGCAGTTCACAGACTGTGGCTTGGGACCCCAAAGTGGATTGCAACTCTGTTTTAATGGGGTTGTCAGGGCTGCCACTAGACTTGCTGGACCTGGGGTTGGAGCTGAAGCCCAGCCCCGCCGCCTCTGCCCAAAGCCCAACCTCCACTGCCCAGGGCTAAAGTTGAAACTTCTGCCCTTGCCGACAGGGCTCAGGTTATGTTCTCCTCCCCACTGGGGCTGAAGCCCTTGGGCTTCAGCTTCCCCTACTCCCCACCCCGGAGGCAATGGGACATCCTAAGGGCTCTAGCCCCCTGTCCCAGGATGGTGGGGCTTGGGTAGGTTTAGGCTTCCATCCCATTCCCGGGATCACGTAGTAATGACATTTGAGAACCCTGGTCTCGATGGAATCTGGGTTCCCACCACACTGACAGAATTCTCACCCAGGGGACATCTCAGCATCCCGTTGGCTCTTCTAGGAGAGCTCAGGCAATGGGCTGATGCTTTTTACTTTCTTTTACTATCCTTTTAATAATCAGCATGATGAAGCTTTAGAAATCTATAGACAAGTATATACTTGCCAAGCACAGACTGCACAAGGCAAGCAAGAACTCCCCAACATTTATCACTCTCACAGTAATACATGCCTAGACATCTGACTTGACAAAGGCCATGCTGGAATCCATCCCTTCTGGGGCTATCATTACATGTAAGAACCCCGGGTAAGACACACCCGGGATGAACTCAAAACTTAGTGATTCATCTGCCACGGACGTCAATAGGAGATTTCTTTGTTTACTCCAGAATGGAGGTGGCCCACCATTTAAAGGCATGAAAAAAAAAAGCAACCCTTCTTATCCCAGGCCATGTTTTAAGTACAAAGTCCCTGCTCACATTTCTCTTTTCTTCTCTGCTGATATTAGCTGGGCTTAGTGACTGGATGGACACACACTGTTGTGTAGAATTAAAGCTCCAAAGCCACTGCTTATTCGCTATGGACCTGGAGCATTCAGAACGACGACTGCACCTGGAGAAAGAGAGTTAGGAAACCATTAGTGTACTCTTCAAAGCCGAGGAGGGAACACATTCTTTGGCTACAGTCCTGCTGTGAGCACGGCTCTTCCCAGCAAGAGTTGTAGGAAAACCAGACACACCAGCAATGGTAGTGACAAAAAGCTAAGGCATGTTGTCTCAGTAGCCCCGCCAGTGCTATGGGAATGCAAAGCGGGCATGAATGGGACTCTTGGCCACACTGGGTATTCAAGATACTGCACAACTTCATTTTGTAAATTATATTTACAGTGTTCAGTTGAGTAAACCCGGGGGCAATGTAGGACAGAACAGAGAGCTCTGCACTGAACACCGTGGCCCCACATAAGCAGAAACAGAGAAAAGGAGAGCCACGTGGAAGTAGAACCAAGTCTGATGGGAGCTGAAGTTCACAGCATTGCTGGACCCTTCCCCAAAGACTGGGAGAGCGTGTCAAAGGTGGAATGAGAAAGGAGAAGGTTGTCAGATGCATGGAACAGACTAGTGTCCTTACTGTGGTCAGAGTGCAACCCAAACCGAGATCCATGGGTGATCCATGGTGACTGAAGAGATAAGCGCAGAACTGACTCGAGTGTGCAGGCGAAAAAGCAGCTATTAACTAATGGTGGCATTTTCAAGGAGGTAGTGTAGGAAGACAAAATCATATGATAGAAGGATGAGGTATTAAAGAAAGCATGAACTCAGAGGAGATGTATGTATCACATGCAGCAGCCATAGTTATTCCAAGTAGGGCTAGAAAAGTCTAAATGCATGTTGCACGAGATCATATAAATGTACAAATAGAGTTAACATTATTGCATACTGTACCTTATTGGAGTTTCCCAATAAACTGATAGAATTTAGCAAAAGAAAATTAGCTAGCTAATCTCAAATAATCATCTCTCTGGAGAGCCTTGTTGAGGAAGAAATCAGATCTCACCGTCCCTGGAGAACACACCAGCCACAATATGGGTCTTTCAGTGTCAAACACGATTCACAATCCAAGTACTGTGAACATTCTAATATGGGAACCTTTACCACCTGCCAGAGAAAGACAAATTAATCTAGTGATCTAGTGAAATTCCAACTCAAATCCCAGCAACTCCACCCACAATTCCTAGAACTTCTGCTCTTCCTAATGAACCCTACTAACCTGATGCTCATTCAACATCCTGTTAGCTATCAGTAGCATCTGAAACTAAAGAAATAGGAGCTCTATGTTCAAAACTAGCCATTTCCCATATCAATGGAAGAGCAAAGTGTCCTGTCATGGTCTTCTCTGAATCCTCTACAATTTCTCAACAACTTCTTTAATGCATGGACACCAGAACACATCATCCAGTCTGCTCACAAATGCTGTTCATATACAGAAGCAATGCCATCTCTCTGCTTCTGATATTTCCTTGTCTATACATTGAAGCCGTGGTGTCCAACCAGTTCTGAAGCAGTAGCCACTCTAGTGCTATAGCCACTGCCATAGCCACACTGAACCAGGCAAATAGTCACATGTGTTAATGGCTCGTGTGTTGGACACCATGGCACTAAAGGATCATAGTAACCCATTTGGAAAGAGCATTGCCCTGGGAGTTCATGTTCAACTGGTTTCCATCACAGCCCCTACCTAGTTCCTTTTAGAGTCTCTGCTTTTTTTCTGACTGGATTGCAAAATGATAAGAAGGAATACATGTGGGAGATAAGATATAGACCAGGGGTAGGAAAATACCAGCCTATGGACCAGATTCAGTTTGCAAGGATTAGCCCCTGGGGGCGAGGATACCACTATATTGACTTGTGCCTCCACAGGTATGGGCAATTGCAGCTTTTGCTGGCCACAGATCACAGTTCCCCATCAACGGAAGCTGCGGAAAGTGGTGTCCTGGCCTGCACCACTTCCTGCTGCTCCCACTGGCTGGGAACGGTGATCTGCAGCCAGCGGGAGCTGAAATGTAGCAGCAGCAGCCCCCGAGGCCTATCCCTAGAGAACTGCTGCCATTTTATTGCCCAGCCCTGGTACAGCCACAAGTTAACAAGGCAGCTGTCACAGCATCTTATTAAATCTGTCTCACAAGCATTTTGGATAGGTCACTACCCAGATGGACTGAAAACTGGCTGAGAAACCCTATACAACAGGCACTGATGAACTGCATTGTATCATGTTAGGGGCTCCAGATAGACGAGCTGAGCTTTCTTTTAATGAACACCTCTGTATTATCGTATCGCTCTAATAGCTAGTTTCAGCCTCTTGTCTGCAGCTCTGTGGACAAGTATTTCATAACTGCCCTATTTTCTCGTTAAAGAGATTTTTAAAACCCAGGCAGTTTCTCTGCCATTTTGCAATACAGCCGGTCCCCGAGTTGCGAACGGTCGACTTACGACCGTTTGCAGTTACGACCAAAGCTGTCGTAAATGGTGGACCCAGAGTTACGAATGCGATCCGCGCTTACGAACAGCGCAGTCGCATGTAACTCAATGGGGTCCGACTTACGAACGAACCGAATTACAACCAATTGCTTGGTCCGTAACCGGTTCGTAAGTCAGGAAGAGGCTGTAATTATTAATGGGCCTTGTGATGGGGTGTATATTCCCCACACTAGCTGGAAAGTGACAGAGAGGTCCTAGGGGCAGGGCTGTCCCCACCCCTTCAGACCCATGAGTTCCATTTGGAAAAGATCTTTAAAAGGGAGGAATCTGAAGGTCGCTGGAGGGAAGAGAGCAGGAGTGCCCGAAGCAAGAGTCTGCTGGTGGACTCCTGGAACTTCAGAGGAAAGGAGCTGGGGTCCTGGCTGAAGACACCCAATGTAAATAAGTGGGTGCGATCAAGTCCCCCACCATCTGGGCAACAAAGCTGAGGGGACACTTTTGGGCCTGCTCTCCATCACGTATTGGTGTCCACAGTACATTAGGATGCTGCTCACCATCTTTGGCAGTATTCAATTATTTTGATTTGGGTGCCCAGATCTTCCCCTGCACAATTTCAGAATGATGCATTCTATTCGGTTCACATTTTTACCCTCATCTTTCTGGCCCAGTTCCTTATGAAGGCACATTAGCTACATCTTCTTATTGGTATTCTTCAACATCACAGGAATCGTTGCTTCTTGTGTTTTCATTGGGTTTATTTAGGGTTCTCCACCTTGCCTGCACGCATGGACTTCAATACCTTCTCCCAAGCTTTGCGTCTTAATTCCTCAAAATACGCTTTCCTCACGTCCAGTTGCCTTATACTGCTGTGCTTACTAGTGTCAGCCTTTCCCAGCATATTCACATATGCTGTCAATTCTTTCCTACTGGTAAGCAATCACACTAGTCAACTTCTCCTTTGGTCGGGCATTTTACTTTCTAGCTCAATAAACTGGACTCTTCCTAACATAAGCCACGATTAGATGGATTTTTCATCCAACAAGTATCAATACCCTGCTGTTGCAAGCACCTCAAAAGTTGCTCTAGCCTAGGATTGCATGAGGGTGGGCAGGCAGCAAGGCTGCAGCCGGTGCTCACGGAAGTATCTCATTTAGTTTTCATTCCTTGTATCTTTGGCCCTCATCTGATTACACTGAACTTCTCACTTCTGAAGACAGATTTGCCACCAAGCTTTGCTTTCCTGATCCCTCCTTCCTGAATAAAA